GAGAGAGAGAGAGAGAGAGAGAGAGAGAGAGAGAGAGAACCAGGAAATGGGTGGGGTGCTCCCACTCAGCAGTATGAACTTTCAGAAAGAGAGATAAAGACTGGACGGTGTTTGGCTTTCCTTCTACCCCAAGGCGGCTCCTCCTGCCCATCTCCTCCCTGTGTCTGCTGTTGTCCTTCTACTTTTGTGGTTCCAGGGCCACCACCCCATCCACTCTCACATCTGTCTACAGTTTCCCTTCAGGTCTGTGGCCCCTGTGTTAGTCCAACAACTCCCCTCTTGATTACCTCCGCCTGAGTTAGCATCTGTTGCTGGTGACCAGAAAACAACTATCTGTTAAGTGTAAATGCCAGGAAGCTCCAGGCAATATTTGAATGTTTGTATTTTGTTTTGTTGTTATTGTTTGTTTTGCTCAACTTCTTAATTACTGTGTTTTCCTGGAGTTCAACTAAGTGACATAGACCACAGTACATGAACTCTGGAATTAAGCTCACCTCCGTTTCAGTTCCTGCTTTCCTACCTACTGACTACATGACACAGAAAAATCAACTCAGCATGTTTCCCCACATGTAAACGAGACATTAATATTTTGCAGAATCTGATAAAAATTAAATGGGAAAACATATTTAATACTTTAAATAACAGTAAATTTTACTGTTGAGGTTGTTGTTACTGTTGCCAGTTTCTCCCTTCCTCCCTCATCATGCCCACAGTGGGTTAAGTGGAAAAGTTCATTATACCCCAAACAGCGCTCAGACTGCACTTTGAAAGTCCTTGGGGTTTCGGGCAAGCCTTATATTGCACTCAGGGCGGAAGGGAAATGGGGTGCTCAGATCATAGATATGCAGCTCACCTTCATGGAAAAGCATCGTGCTGGAGCAGAAATCCCAGATTATGGCCCACAGGACACGGGGCTGCTGCCTGCTTTTGTACACAAAGCCTTCCTGGATAATGGCCGTGCTCACTGTTTCTGTGTTTCCGGCAGCTACTTTTGCAACAGCAGAGTGGGCCGCTTTGACTGAGCCTGAGTGACTAGTGAAGCCACTTACTGCCTGGCCTTGTGCAAACAACTTGCAAGCCCAGAGCACACTTGTTGGGTGTGACCAGAGTGGGCTGAGCAGAGACATGGTGACGAGCTGCAAGCCACCTGCGGGAGGCGTGTGTCTCTGCCTCTCTGAGCAGCTCTGCTCCTCACAGTGGCCCACACAAGAGTCCCTTCAGGATCTGTACTCTGTTCCTGTGTGAGCTGCCATCTGAACCACTCCCACAACTCCCCACCTCCCTGTTCTGCTCAGGAGGGGCCCACGCCTGCTGACTGCTTGGACGCTCTCGTCCTGTCATCTCCTCTCTAGATGTGACCCAGCCTGTGCCGCCCCCAGCGTCTCTTCATGATGACTGAGACTTTGACCCAGCTCCCCCAGCAATCCTTTCCTTCCTCCTGACCCTGAAGATCCTCCAACCACGTAGCAGATGGGGTTGCTGCCTCACCTACACCGCTCAGCACTCTCGGTTCCAACCCAAGAATTAGGACTTCCTTTTTCTGGGATTGGCCTGCAGTATAGGGAGATCCAGCCCTCAGGAGAGGCCATTACCAGTCACTGGTGGGGTTGGTGGACACAGTCCCTCACCCTCTGAAGCACAGCTCGAGGTCATGTTTTGCCATCGCCCAGCTACTCTGCCAGTGCTGACCTGATCAGACCCCGACTTCCTTCCCTTGCCTGCCTCTCTCTCCAAATCTCTACCACTGTTTCTGGAGTCACCTCCTAAATAAACAACTTACATCCTATCCCTGTCTCCAGGTCTGCTTCTGGGAGAACCCAACCTCAGGCACCCACCTGCTCTCATCCTGTTGAACCCAAACACACGGCCCCTCTCATGTAAGAACTAGAGGTGGAAGTTTAGTAAGAGTGGGGTTCTCAAAAATCAGAAGAGACCACACAATTTATGATTGCACTGATATAAACAATCTAGAACAGGCAAGGCCATAGAGACAGAAAACAAATTAGCAATTTCTAGGGTGGGGAGAAGAGGGAATGAGTCATGAGTACATAATGACATGGAGTTTCTGTTTGGGTCTATGAAAAAGATCTGGACAGAGTGGGAATGACCGTACATATTGTGAATATAATTCATGTTACTGAATGGTATGCTTTAACACTGTTACAATAACTTTAATGTTCTTGTGTATTTTACAATAATAATAATAATAATAATAAAGCAAGCCCTGGGCTGGGGGATTTAGCTCAGTGGTTTCACCACCTGCTGTGCAAGTGCAAGGACCCGAGTTTGATCCCCAGTACCAAAAAAAAAAAAAAAAAACTCCATGTGGCAGATTCTTCCTACATTTCAGGGGCATGGGAGACTCTGTCTCTATTGGCTTTCTGATCTCCAAGCACCACCTATGCAAGTCCTCCCTTTAGCCAGTGTGGCTTCCCTACTTTAGTCTCATCTCAGATGCTGGTGTTACACTGCTTCTGTTCAGCCTGAAGACACCACAATGGCCAAGGACCCCCACATGCCACCAGTTGTTCCCCCGAACCACTGACAAGAGCCATGTCTGCAGAGGCCAGTGGCCCCCAAGGCCTGGGACTTCCTCTTAACTCACTACAAACTCCTTCCTCAGTCCTGGCAGCTGTGTCTCACTTCAGGACCCTGGGGGTCAACTTGGAGGCTGATGGCACCATATGGACAATGCTGAAACCAAAAGTGTCTGCAGCTGCTGGGGCTGCAAGGCCAGATGTTCAGCTCTGTCTCCTCCAGCTGAAGATGAATTGTCTGAGGTGCAGTCATGGGAGACTGAGAAGCTGAGAAGCTGTGTGCATCTTGGGACCTAAAATGGAGGGCCTGAGTTGTAAGTAACAGAACAGAGGCTATGGGCACCCAGGGGGAGATGTGTGGTCTGCAGATATGGCTGAATAAGCCATCAGAGCATTTTGTTTTCTTAAGTATTTACTATCATTTACAAATTGCTTAGCAGGCCGCACGCCCTGCATCTCACACCTGGCTTGTTTCTCTATTTCATGTTATTAAACCAAGCTGTGGCTCCGGTGTAGGTGTTGAAGAATGGTACACAGGAGAATAATCACATCTTGTCTTTGTTTCTCTAAAACAAAGCCCCCATGTAAAGCACAATGATTCCTTTTGCCAAAGGGGCTTTGAATCCTTAGTTTTTGCCATAGGATGCAAAGAATACATTGAGACAAAGACCCACAGGGAACAGGAGAGTGGTCCTGGAATCTGAGAACTCGTGATGGTCATCAGCCATCTGTCAGAAAAATTCTGACTCCTGCTACATCTCAATCAATAAAACGTTGTCCCTTGTGGTAGTTTCCTGAGTAAGGACATGCAGTACATGAATTCTTCTGCAGACCTTGCTCCTTGTGGTCACTCAGCCGCCCATCTGCCCAGGCCCCTTTACACTTAGGTGGAACCTTGTGGCTGAGTGTGAGTCAAAGGGAGGGGTGTTCTGTGCACAATGCTCCACCCTCTTTTCTTTTCCCTTTCTTCTCTCTACTTTCCTGTTCCACGAGTGGAGTGGCTTTAATGGAAGGCAGAGCTACAAAATCAAACGAAGGTCCCAAGTCACTTGTTGGAGGAGAGGCTTCGATAAGAAAACATCTACATTAGACTCTTGGGTGAGTGATAAGGTTATATTGGGTTAAATTATTGAAATTCTTGGGTCATCTGTTGTAGCAATGAGCCTATCCTGACTAACGTGCATAATATAAGATGTCACCTCAACAAGGGGACCTCCTTGCATAATTGCGAAAAAGACCTTCTAAATGGGATCAGAACCAGCTCTGGGCTTCACTGGTTACCAGTTCTCACCACTCATTTCTGAAGTTTCTCAGAGACTCCACACAGCTGCTGTGTCCTCCACGGACTCCTTAGCCACCAATGGGTCTGCTGGACATTGGTCAGGTGGAATGATTTCTCCCATACCCACCATTTGCTGCTGTGCTCTTGCTCACTCTGTGCACCTGTAGAACCCAGAAGGCCTCATAATCTTCTGACAGTCCCAAGTGGAGGGTACGCTGTTATGGTTTAGATCTAAAATGTACCCCCAAAGTCTCTTGGGTTCAGAGATGGGGCTTTTGAAAGGTGACCAGATCGTGCAGGCAATATCCTCATTAGTGGACTAGTTCACTGATGGGTTTATAGCTGAATATGCTGTGACTAGGTGGGATCTGGTTGGAAGAGCTTCTCCCCACACCTCCTCCTTTATGATTGCCATAGTTTGAGCATCTTTCCTCTGCAATGCCTTTCCATCATTCTATCCTGCCTTGGAGTAAGATGAACATGTACTGAATCCTCTTAAACCATAAGTCTCCTCCTTAAATTTGTGGGTGTCAGGTATTGCATCCAGCAACAGGAATACTAATGTGTATGATGACCCCAAGGTCAGTGTGTCTTTTCATAGCAAGGAGAATGAAGTTCAGAATGAAGTTCAGATGCCCCATGTGCTCCATGACTTT